AACTTGTTTTGCTTAAAAGTTTCTGAGAAATGATTTCACACAATTGCAAAATTGAAATGACCAGGGTTGTAAAGGCCGTATATGTGGAGGCCATTCGATTTAATGACAGGTCTAAGATAATATTTAATAAAGTTACCAGAATTGTATTTTAGTATATATAGTAAGAAGTAAAAGCTGACAAGTTGTGGATGAGCTGAAGTTATAAAGTGCCAGATTGCATAAACAGTCACTGTATTCAGCATATATTAGCTACAGGCAAACACAGATTGAAAGAATATGTAAAAGCCATCATCTTTTAATATTTTTTTGTCTTGTAGATTTCAAAGCATGGTAAATTACTTTTTCAGATAGTTAAGAGGTAAATTATTACAAAGTCCTAATTAAAGGATTTAAAAAATGTGCTTGGAACACAGTGGGGCTCAATAAATATTTAATGAATGAATTAAAGAAATAATGAATTTGTTTTACTGTAGTGTGCTGATAGAAAAACAGGGACCCAATTATGATATATAGAATTTTCTATCTTGCAATATTTATTTAAATGTTAATTAACATGAACACTAGTGAGTTCTCTGACCAAGTCTGAATTATACTATACATTAAGTCAGGATATAAATTTCCAGCAACTACTTATTTTAGCTGCTAAAGTGTCAAGTTGTTGCAATAAGCAGTAGTGAGAAAATTAGAGCCAAATGTCAGAAATCCCCAAGCTATTGTTTTGATGGCATTTAGCCTATCACACTACCCTGAGAGAGTATTTATTAGTTGGCTCTTAGGGAAGGCAGGTCTAAGGTTTTTCAACTTACAGATGTTCAAAGATAGTAACTATAACCAGGACAATTTTTAGTATCAGGACGGCGTTCTAGTGCTTTCATAGCAGATGAATGTGTGAAGGGATAGCTACTTAATCGGAAGCAAGAGAAAAGAGGCTTTTAGAGATTTCCTGTAATAAAAATTCTTATAACCCTCATAAATTCAAGCATTCTCTCCGTTTTAAGATACACCCATTCTTCCCCTTCCCCCACAAAAGGGAACAGATAAATGAACCGCACCCCTCTGCATAAACGGGATTTTTAGTCTATATTGAACCATAACACTACGCACATGATCTCTAGTAGTAAGATGGACAGAAAGAAAATATAGGCCAGTAATGCTGAAGAAAGTAGTCTCTCAGAGAGTCTGGTTCAGAAAGTTAAGTAACTTTACATTACTCATATGGTTTAGTAATACTTGGATTCCAAATTGAATTTGTTGATTAATGTTTTAAAAAGTGCACAATTTGGGGACTAGCTGGGATTTGGGCAGTAAGTTTTATATATATAATCTGGTCTTCATCAGTTTCCAAAGAGATAGGTTATCTGGGCCTTGAGGAATTTCTTTTTGTTTGCTAGTACATTGTATTCATCTAGGAGGTTTAAGGGATTGTCAAGGAAAGAAGTCTTGACCTTAACAAGTTAGAAATGTAGGATCTGCAGGTGTAGATTAAATTTAATCAAGGAAGCCTTAGCAACATCTGGGAACAGATATATGTAGTAAAGCCACTGCTTATCAGAAGTGCCAACATTGTCATTTTATAACTCAAAAGAACAGAACAGCTTCTTGATCATGTAAAATGTTAACTGACCTTCACACTGGTACACATTCCTGTTAAACAGTATGCTATTCATTTCAATCTATGTTTCTTTAAACTAGCTAGTCACTCAGAGGAAATAATTTAGCAGACTCTTTGAGATCTCTTTATAATAAAATTTAGCCTCAAAAAATCACTTAATTATTTATTTAGTGGTATAGTCTCTTCATTCCTATCTTCTGATGATTTAAACTGTATACACATTACTGCTAGATTAACTTTTCACACAGACATCTAATTGCATTATTCTACTCCTGAAATTTTCACACCTATCCATTATCTGCCAAAGCAAGTACAGAGTATAGCTTGGCATTCAATGATTTCCACAAAAATAGCCCCAACATACTTTTCCCAATTCACTTCCTAGTAGTGCTCCTATCAATACATAGATAGCTAGAAGCTCAGTCTTCCAGCAGGTCTAACTTATTAGGCAATTGTGGCCCCTAAAGTATTGGAGGAGGAGGAGAAGAAAATAGCCCGTTTCCAACTTCAGCTCTAACAGAGAGGTTGGGAAATGAACACTGTTCTAGTACCTCTCTGAAACACTGATTTGATCTATTACGCTCTTACTTAAAATCATTAGAGTGAGCTTTTAAAAAAATATGTATTTATTTTTAGAGAGGGAAGGGAGGGAGGGAGAAAGAGAGAAACATCAATGTGCGGTTGCTGGGGGCCATGGCCTGCAACCCAGGCATGTGCCCTGACTGGGTATCAAACCTGTGATGCTTTGGTTCGCAGCCTGAGCTCAATCCACTGAGCTACGCCAGCCAGGTAGAGTGAGCTTTTTATAAATCTAGGATCCATGGGTCAGGATGTGGCTAGAATTTAAGAGGTCCACGGACTTAGATTGGGAAATAAAATTTTATTTTTATTTTCAATAATCTCTAGCTGCAATTTGGCATTTTCTTCAATAAATATAGGCAATAATCCAGAATATCATTAGTCCTTTTGTCTTCTGTCACCAATAGAAAATAGGATATTTTCATATCATATTAAAGTTATTGCAGGTACCTCAAAATATAATTGATACTCATCATTATTTTGGAATTACACAATTAAACATGCTGCCAGATGGTTATTTATTGCGCAAAGGAGGAACATATGTAACCTTATCACATGCTTGTTTTAATATTTTTGAAATTTTGAAAAAATTGGTTTCATTCATTTCCATGTATTTTATACATTTAAAAACATTCAGAGATAGGGGCCACAGGCCAGGCTGTCAAAGAGTCCATGGCATGAAAGAGGTTATTTTCTTCTCATCTTTGTTATTTATACCTACTAATTAATTATAATATATAAAGTAAATGTTTCAGCATGGGATTCAAGGCTACATTTTATCATTTTTATCTCTGCCCCACCCCTTTTCACCATACTATGCTCTAATCACACCATACGACAGTGACTCTCTTATCTGTAGGCTGAAAGACAGGTTTTTGGATTAACCCTAGTTAGTAGATAGTAGCCCTGCACTGGCTTGGGCTTTGCCTTTACATCCTTTCTCTGCCAGTCAAGTGAATTCTTCTTTTAAAGGTTTGTTTTCCCTATTACTATAAAATCCTAGTGGGGCTGTATCTTAAATATCTTTTAAAAATATAAAAAAATATGTTTATTGATTTTAGTAGAAGGGAGAGAAAGAAAGAGGGAGAAAAACACTGATGTGAGAGAGAAACATCAGTTGGTTGCCCCCCCACCCCCCATATGTGCTCTGATGGGGAACTGAATTGCAACCTAGGTATGTGCTCTGACCAGGGATCTAATCTGTAACCTTTTGGTTTACAGGAATATGCTCCAACCAATTGAGCCGTACTGGCCAGGGCCTTCACTATCTTTATATCTCATTCCTAACTTAAAGGATTGGTGAAATGTAAAATTAGCAAGGCACTGTGTGTAGTTGTCTCCAGGGGAGCCAAGTTAGCCTTTGCACTTCATAAACTGGCTGAGCTCTGACTTTTTTAGGGATAAAAATGAGGATGTTCTTGAGTTCTAAGGCTGGACCCCCAGCTAATAAATCCTGAATGGAAGGGAAAGGGAGAGGAAAGTTGCAACCAAGAGGACCTGATTAAAATTAAGCTATGGAACTGTGCTGAAGGGAAAGGCAGGAAGTGCTGCTTCTTCCATTTCCTAGACCAGTTATTCTACACTTTCATTACTATTGAAGCTTCTGACTGTATCCTCAACTCACTCTCATCAAATGACTCCCATTCTAATGTCACAGAGCCAATTCCATAACTTCCTGTTCTTCCCTACTTCCCATCCTTTCCTTTTCTCTAGCTTAGTGGTTCTCAACCCTCGGCATTAGTCACCTCAGGAGAGAACTCTGATGAATGGACCCCCGCATTTGTTTAATTGGTTTTGGGTGTAGTAACAACATTGATTTTATTTTTTATTTTATTTAAAAAATTGATTTAAGAGACAGTGAAACATCAATTTGCTGTTCCACTTACTCATGCATTCATTGGTTGCTTCCTGGGATCGAATTTACAACCTTGGAAAATGGGGACAACGCTCTAATCCACTGAGTTACTTGGCGAAGGCCTGATTTTATTTTTTAAAGCTTCCTAGGTGATTGTAATACACTACAAGGCTGAGTTCCATTAGTGCTCTTGATCCTCTAAATTAAGACACCCTCAACTCATGAACTCTCCACTTCTTGATTTCATGGTACACTAAGTCTCCTATCTTTAAAGAAAATATACTTGCAGCCCATATTCTGTCTTCATCCTTTTCACCCTTTACAACGATACTTCCTTAAAGTGTAGGCTGCACCAGCATAGCTTCCACCAGCTATTCCTCTTTTTACTGTTCCGGACCAGTACTATCATATGCTTTTGTGCCTGTCACTTTTTCTCCTTTTCTCTTCTATTTCTTTGACCAGCTATTGCTCACTATCTTTCTAACACGTTAAGAGTGGCTCGAAGGTCGCCCTGGAAAGAGTTTCCTCGTGTCCTTCTACACTATTGATGGCCTCCCTTCTATGAGTATCCTGTGCTTTTTTTTCTATTATAATTTTACTTTACTACCACTGCGGATTCTCTCATCGTCTTCCACATTACACAGCACTTCAGGAAGCTGAGGCTATTTCATTCGTTTCTGACTTTCTGCAATACAAGACATGGAAAATGCTCAGTGGAACCTCGGAAGAATCAATGGAAAGGAGGACTAGGAAATGCAGATCGGGGGCGGGGAGAGGAGGGGAGAAGGGGCGTGTTGTGGAAAGGGGCGGGGACTAAGAAGGGCCGCGCTGAGAACCGTGCGTCAAAATTGGGAAGGGGGCATGCATACCCTAGCTCTGAGTGGGCAGCGAAACGGTTCTCTGCCGGGATACACTGACCTACAAACCGAAGTCGGCAGGGGGGCAGTTTCTTACCTGCGTGGTGCCCCACCACCTCCACCAGCCTTCAGGAACCTCTGTATCGGCCGGAAAGCGAGAGCTATGGTCGCAAACCTTGAGTTTTCGATCCCAACCTTGCGACATTACTGCCCAGTAAAGGGAGAATCTAAGGCAGAGCTCCCAGCTCTGCCGTAAGGTGAGGAAAAAAGTTTGGGCGGGGCGCCTGGGGCGGACGGAATGGGGTGTGCCCGCGCAAGCGCATACTCTACTCTCTGGGAGCGTCACGTGCAGGCGGGCGGACTCCTGCTGGCGGTAGGGGGCGTGGGAGGTAAGTGCGCGCGCGCCTGCTCCTCTGCCGCCCTAGTCGCGCGGGGCGGGGCCGCGTGCGCGGAGTCGGGGGCGCGCGGGCCGGGAGCAGACTAAGGACCCAGCGACGGTAGATGATAGCTGCTCAGAGTCCAACCGGGACCTTGAGGGTTGGTGGTGCAGGCATCTGCGACACCGGCAGAGGCGGCTGCAGCGGTGGAGGCAGAGGTCCAACGCGTGCTTTCTGGGCGGGGTGCGGCGGGGGATGTGCCTGCTCCGGCCGGGCGGAGTCTCTCTGACAGGGCGGGGGATGCGCGGAGTCCGCTCTCCCGGACCCTGAGGCAGCTGGGCCCACCCTCGCGGAACAGTCCGACCCTTGCTGGCCTTGGCCTCGACTCTCCTCCGGTCTCACCCTGGGGCCGACGGTGGGAGGCGGCTTCCGCCAGAGAGTAGGGGCTGTGGTGGCCACCGCGGCGAAGCCCGAGGTAAGACCCGCCCTAGCCGCCCAGCGGCCCCGCCGTCCGGCCCGGCCCACGTCTCAGTCTCGCTTTCGGGCTCTTGCCCGGCCGCCCGGCTCCGCCCCAGCGGAGACGCCCCGCGAACGGGGCTGCCCTGGAGCTTCCCAGACTCCGGATCACTTCTCCGGGTCCCCAGTAGACCCCACCCATCGTATCTCCATTGGCCAGACACCATTTCGGCCTTCCAGCCTCCCGGGCCGTTGTCATGGACCCCCCCCCCCGCCCCCACACACAGCACACCCCCTTAGAACCCTCCTGCGACTTTTAGGACTGTTAATGGAGCCTCCAGACTACGTTACATTCTCCCGTGAGCTTACTGGATCACAGTTCCTCTGACACCCAGTAACGGCTGCCCCTAACCCATTGCGACCCCTTATTTCCAAGGCAGATCCATTGCTGTCCCCTCTCTTTCGCAGAGGATCTCCCCTTCCCAGGTAGCTCACTCCCAAGTCAACTAGCTCTTTACCTAGCCAACTGTGCTTTCAGATGGTCTCTTTCATGATGCTCTTACCTCCCAGCAGATCTGGTGTCAGCCTCTCTTTAGGCACTTTAGACACTCCCCTTCCCCACTCCTCTCCCACAGCCCTCTGCTTAGGCAGATCTTGTAATCCTTTTTCTTGGTCGTGATTCTTCGGTTGAAAGGTGTCTTTCTTTGCCGTGAAATGGTGAAGGGATGTTTGCTTATCCTACTGGCGTATTCTCCCCGGTTGGCTTTAAGGGGACCAACTGACACCCACGTTTGAAGGGTTTAGTCTGGTGGCTATGGAAGGCAGGCAGAGGGAAGAGTGTGGAAGTCCAGGGCAGGGGGTGTGTGCTGTGTCTTCTGCAGAACGTGCGAGATTGTCCATGTCTGATATTTTAGGGACCTCCATAAGGATTAAATCACATACCACAAAGTGGATGTAACTGTCTCCATGTAGTAGCTTCCTCTTGCAAATTTTACAGGTCTTTTGCACTGCTTTTGAAGGATACTGGAGACTATTTTTTTTTGATTTGTTGTTTTTGAATTTGCTGGAAAAATAAGATTTGTAGCTTTCTTTAATTCCTAAAGATTTACTGTCAGTTTAGTAAATTTATGCTCCTTGGTGCTGCTGTCTTGCTTTTCCAAGGAGCAAGTGCGATTATCATGCAGTGTTCACCGGTGTTCGCCAATAGCCTTCTCAGCAGTAAAATATTGAATAAAATGGTTGTTGAACTCCTGAGCTGTCAATAAGGAAAGGTAATGTTACACCAAATGAACAGTGCGTAATTTTAACATTGTTGCAAGAATGAAGTATAAAGAGGTTTTAGTAGTCAGTACATTTAAAATTTTTATTTTGTGTGGAACTGAAGAGAGGAAAAATTATATTTAAAACTATAGGTAATAACTAGACATAATATAAATGTCAAAGGGGTCAAAAGACTATGCAGTAAAAAGTTTCTTTTTATCCTCCAACCACCCACTTTCACTCTTTAGAGACAATCACTACTTCCATATTGGTGTGTGCCCTTCCTGTGATATTTCTAGCATATACAAGCCTACATGTTTTTATTCTTAAAACACACTAAAACATACTGTACACTCTGATTATAGCTTTTTATCCCTAGTTAATAATAGATCCTATTGGTCACTCAACATTACATATGGTAGTGCCTTATTTACTGGCTGGATGGTAGTGTTCCATTTTGGTGGTCTTGAGGTAGTTTCGGTTTTTGCTTTTACAAACAGTGCTGCATGCTTTACTTTTAAACGTATCAGCTGTGATATGTATGCTTTAAGTCTATTTCAGGATTTGAAAACATTTTCTGATGTTTCTTTTGTGCTGAACCTACAAAAAAAAAGTAACTAAAGTAAATGTCATTGATCTGCTGAACTTCCATGGAGTGACTAGCTTTAATAGTGATTACAATATTTATCAAATAAGTCATTAAAAGATTTAAAGTTGGGGACTGAAATGATCAGAATTGTACTTTTAAGAGGTCACTGGCTGCAGTGAAGAGGGTGGATTGAAGTGTAGATCAAGGCTGAAGTCAGGAATATCAGGAGGGCAGTCCAGGCAAATGATGATAGTGGGTCTGGATTAGGGTATTAAGAGTAGACAAGACTTGATGATTTCAGTGGATTTGGGATTAGGGAGAGGGTTCCTTGAAGATAAGATCTAGGTTCTAGCTTGTGCTTTACACTGGGGTGGAGGAGATCGATATGAAGAAGGAGTAGAATTTTTATTTTTGTCAAGAAAGAGGAATTCAGTTTGTGTCATGTTGGGTTTGAGTGATTATACTTTAGTCAGATGTAGATGGCCGGTAGGTTAGCTGGATTTGTGGGTTAAGCATTTTATCAAGTTCTGAGTGCACAGTAATAGGTTTTGGGGGCAAAGGGTATAAATGAGAGGAGAAAAGATTGTAGGATGGAAACCTAATATTTACAGTACAGGTAAAGTTGAATATCTAAGTAGTAAATTATGTGATTAAGTTTTTTTAAAGAAGTCTTGTTATAGTTTAAATATCAGTAGTGAAGTTCACTGCCTAACATGTGACTTACTAATGTTTTTTCCCCTTTCACTAACATTAGCGGTGTACAATTCATGAGGAAAATGGAATAAACTTAGATTTCTTTCTCTTAATTTATAAATTTATTTTTAAGTAGACTTTTTACATTTAATTTATTTTTAAAATTTCATTTTTCAATTACAGTTGACATTCAGACAATCTTATCATTTACAAAGTGATCCCCTGATAAGTCAAGTACCCATCTGGCACCATACATAGTTATTACAATATTATTGACTTTATTCCCTATGCTGTTTCACATCTCCTTGACTGTTTTGTAATTACCTATTTGAACTTCTTAATCCCTTCACCCTTTTCAGTCATCCTCCCAACCTCTCTCCCTGCTGGCAGCCATCAGTTTGTTCTCTGTATCTGTGAGTCTGTTTTTGTTTTGTTTGTTTATTTTGCTATTTAGATTCCACATATAAGTGACATCATATGGTGTTTGTCTTTCTCTGTCTAACATATTTCAGTTAGTGTAGTACTTTCTAGGTCTATCCATCCTGTTACAATGGTAAGATTTCATTCTTTTTTTATGGTGAAGTAATATTCCATTGTGTATATGTACTGCCACATATTATCCACATCTTGGCTATGGTAAATAACACTGCATTGAACATAGTGGGGTATAGAGCTTTTCAAACTAGTGTTTTGGGTTTTTTCGGATATATATGTACCCAGAAGTGGAATTGCTGGGTCATAAGGTAGTTCCATTTTACATTTTTCTGAGGGCCCTCCATATTGTTTTACCTTGTGGCTGTGCCAGTCTGCATCTCTACCAACAGTGCAGGAGGGTTCCCTTTTATCCACTTTCCCACCAACTCTTGTTTGCTGATTTATTGCTGATAGCCTTTCTGATAGGTGTGAGGTGATATCTCATTGTAGTTTTAATTTGCATTTCTCTGAAGATTAGTGACATTGAGCATCTTTTCATGAAACTAGATTTTTTAGTAAAAGAAAACCTCACTAGGAATTAGTAATATAAACTCCATCTTTCCTGATCATTAGGATTATACTGTTACAGAAGTTTGGCTTTCAGAGAAGTGCAGGAGGTTTGAGATGTCATTTGCCAAGATGACTAAGTTTTTAGTTTGCATGATTTTTACTTATGTTAATTTAATTTAAATATTAGTCAAAGAGTTTTCCGTCATGTTTCAAAACCGTAACACCAACTTAATGTATTATTCCTAAGTCTAGAACTGTGGTTTAGGGCTCTTGCCTCTACTCTAGACCCCTATAAATCACTGCTAATGGACGTCTCCACTTGGATCCACAGTTCACAGCACTTTGCACGTGTACAGTATAAAACTGTTCTCTGCCTCTTTTCTCCCCCCAAAAAGTGGGTAAGAGGGAGACAAAGTGCTACAAATTTTTTTCTTTTGATTTCCTGTCTTTATGAACAGTATCACTCTTTCCTTATGAAGCCTTCAGGAACCTGGGAATTGTCTTTCACTACCAATGTCACTAAGTCCTGCACATTCTCCCAGGTGATATTTCATATCAATTCCTAATTGCTGTACTTGTCTCTATTTTATTTAACCCAAAATATCTGTTGGACTTCTGTAAAGCTTTCTAAGTGGTTTTCTTGCCTTCTCTCTTCTGCAGTTCATTCTCTGCATTGCTACCAAAGTATTCTAAAATGCTTTTTTAGTTAGGCTCTTTCAGTTGCAAAGAAGAGACTCAGGTTACCTTAAGTAGTGGAGTGCTTATTGAAATGAAGCCCAGGAAACAAGGGAACCCAGGGTAAGTTAAAGAACTTGGTCTCAAGATGAATAGGAGCTTAATAAATAAAACTAGAAACAGATTTGACTCTTTGCTCTATTTACTGTTAACTTATCTTTGCTATCCTTTCTATTTCTTTT